TTCTCTCAAAACCGCTTCTGCGGTAAACTATCCGCTTATGCGGACCCGCTGAAGCGACCAACTTCCGCTTATGCGGAATTACGCTAGTCCATGTCTGACCGCTTCTGCGGCCCCTCACCCGCTTCTACGGTCCATTTCCGCAGAAGCGGAAATACCAGATGACAGCAGCAACAGCCCTGAAGCAACTTTAAAAACTCTCGTTTAATCACTCGAATTCACCCCGAGGCCCCCGGGACCTCAACCAAAAACACCAACACATCCTAAAACCTCATTCAAACTTGTACCCATCCTCAAAACACATCAAACAACGCTAAAACCATCAAATCACATCGAATTCAAGCCTAAGTTTCTTAAGAACTTCCGAATTACGCATTCGATCAAAAACCCGACCAAAACACCTCCGAATGACCGAAATTTTGCACACATATCCAAAATCACCTAACGGAGCTACTGCAACTCTCGGAATTCCATTCCGACCCTCGGATCAAAATCTCACCTATCCACCGGAATTCGCCAAAATGCCAACTTTGCCAATTCAAGCCTAATTCTACTCCAGACCTCCAAAATCACTTCCGATCGCACTTCTAAGTCATAAATCATCTCCCGAAGCTAACCGGGTCACCGAAATTCACATCCGAGCTTTCTAACTAATAAGTCAACGTTCGGTTGACTTTTCCAAACCAAACCTTCCTTAAAGAGACTAAGTGTCTCATTTCCTATCCAAACCAATTCAATTCAACTCTAACTCACCCGTTGCTGATAATAAAACATGAAAGAGCAATAAATGGGGGAAACGGGGCTGTAATACATGAGACAACGGGTTGGGTCGTCACATCCTCCCCAACTTAAACAAACGCTCGTCCTCGAGCGGGTCGAGAAGCATACCTGAGGTCTCAAATAGGTGAGGATATCTGCTCCGCATCTCCTGCTCAGTCTCCCAAGTAGCTTCCTCAACGGGCCGACCTCTCCACTGCACCTTTACCGAAGCTATATCCTTTGATCTCAATCTCCAAACCTGACGACCCAAAATAGCCACTGGCTCCACATCATAAGCCAAGTTATCATCCAACTGAACCGTGCTGAAGTCTAACACATGGGACGGGTCCCCAACATACTTCCGGAGCATAGAAACGTGAAATACTGGGTGAACTCCCGACAAGCTGGGTGGCAAAGCAAGCATATAGGCCACCTCCCCAACTCTCCTAAGTATCTCAAAAGGACCAATGAACCGTGGACTCAACTTTCCTTTCTTTCCAAATCTCATAACGCCCTTCATAGGCGAAACCTTCAACAAGACCTTCTCGCCCACCATGTAGGATACGTCTCGAACCTTCCGGTCCGCATAACTCTTCTGACGCGACTGAGCTGTACGAAGTCTCTCCTGGATCACTTTCACCTTCTCTAAGGCATCCTGAACCAACTCTGTCCCCAATAGTCTAGCCTCGCCGGGCTCAAACCAACCAACC